CTGCTGCTGCTCTACCTGCTGCTGCTGCTGCTGCTGCTGCTGCTGCTGCTGTTTACCTGATCTTAATATTGTGCGTTTGATCTTCACGATATTATTTGATGTAATTTTTTCTAAGTTTTTTGTATATTCACACAAATTTGCTGCTCTGCTTAATACTACAACAGGGATTTGTTTAATTGCTACTGCTTCTGCTTCTGCTGCTGCTGCTGCTGCTGCTGCTGCACTTCCTGCTGCTGCTGCTGAAGGGCTTACAGCAGCACTTTTATATAAACCGCTGTAGACTAAAACGCTCGGATCGAAGCGGCAGCAGCCAATAGGCAAACTACCGTAGCAAACTTCATCACCCAGCCACTTCACAAACTTATTGCTGCTGCTGCTGCTGCTGCTGCTGCTGCTGCTGGTGATGTTGCTGCTGGTGGTGGCCGTTCGTATGCTGCTGCTGTCGGGCGCAGGGGCGTCGTGGGTGACTGTGGGTGCTTCAGCTGCTGCTGCTGCTGCTGCTGCTGCTGCTGCAGCATCGCGTGTACGTACACCGCAACCCCGTATTTCATCGATTGCTTGCTGTTCGCCTCTCCACACTTCAGTTGGCCCTAAAGAATCTACGACACCCCTGTAAGGCACTCCTCCTCTACCTCCTGCAGCAGCAGCAGCAGCAGCAGCAGTAGCTGCTGCTGCTGCTGCTGTTGCTGGTTGCGTTTGTGGGGCTGCTGCTGCAGTTTGAAAAGTGAGAGGGCCTGCGGTGATGTTCAGGTTGAAGGGATGGTGTTTCAAGGGTTTCTGCTGCTGCTGCTGCTGCTGCTGCTGCTGCAATTGCTGCTGCAATTGCTGCTGCTGCTGCTGCTGCAGTAGCAGCAGCATTTGTTTATGCTGCTGCTCTTTTTCTGCGTCATTTTGATTGGATGGAATTACAAACGGCGGTTTGCTGCTGCTGAGTGCTTTGAGTTCGTCTGAGTCGAGGAGTACGGCGCTGCTGCTGCTGCTGCTGCAGCTGCTGCTGCTGCTGCTGCTGTTATCTGCGGGTCTCTGCGCCACAGGAGATCCAGGTAAAGATGTCCACTGCTGTGCAGAAGCAGCCGAATGAGTTGAGGCGTAGGCGCTGGTGTATGCAGGTGCTTCTTGCATGCATAATTGCTGCTGCTGCTGCTGCTGCTGCTGCTGGAGAGCTGCAGATACACCCCAGCTAAAGCTGCTGCTGCTGCTGTCCAATAGACACCCAGGGGCTCGACATACTCCTGCTGCTGCTGCTGCTGCTGCTGCTGCTGCGGGGTCTGTGTGTGTGCCGACGTACTTCAAGCAAAAGGCAGTCTCTCTCCCTAACAAATAAAACAATAAAAATAATATAAATATAAATATAAATATAAATATAAATATAGATATAATATAAACGTAAATATAAATATAAATATAAATATAAATATAAATATAAATATT